CCCAAGTTCGAGTGTATATCAAATCCAATCAAGCCTAATCGAACTTAAAAAATATAATTTTATATTTTATATAATTTTAAACAAGAGACAAAATAGATATTTCATACTAATAAATAAAAAATTAAAATGACATATATATGTGAGGGTTGATTAAGCTCGAGTTTTGATTGAACAAACTCGCAAGCTACTCGATTAAGCTCGACTTGTTTGCACTGCACCCTTAGTTAGAAAGTACAGCTTTGTTGCGCCATGGTTCATTTGGAGGTTCTCTTGTCACACTTTCTTTAACAAAGCATGTTGCGTCATGGTTCATAGGAAAAGATTTGCTTTATTTACGCAGAGAGGAAGAAAAGTCTGTGTTGGGGTGAGGGGTAGAAAGCAAGAGAGTGAGACAGAGTAGAAACATTAGAAAATTGAAGGATCAAGGGATTCTTCCATGAATAATTATCTCTTGATGTAGTGAATGGTTTTTCGAGGAGAAAAATTTTAGATGAGTATTATTTCGGTACTTTTTTTCTTTTTTGTAGACATGAGATTCTTCAATTTTTGTGCTTTGTTGCTATTAGAGTTGCAAACGAGTCGGTTCGAGTCGAATTTTGGCCTAATCGATCTGAATCTTGATTTAGGGGGTGCTTGTTTCACAGATTGGAATCGGAAATGAAAATGGAATCATAGACTCTAATTTTAGAATTAAACTTTTTATTCCAATATCTAACTTGGTTCACACATTGGAATTAGCATCATTCCAATTCTTGATGAAATTAAATGCAATTAAAATTTAAATTTACCCCTGATATAACAATTCTTATAAAACAAAGGGATAATTGCAGAAACCTTCCTTGAGGTTTCTGACACTTGCACTGACACTCCCTTGAGGTTTCAAAACAAACAAATTCATTCTAAACTTTGGTTTGGGGTAATTTCATAAACCAAATCGCGGTCACTTTCTGTAAAGTATCACTTTTCCATAAAAAAACTAGCTTTTTATGGCTTTTCTCCAATTTAATAACAGAGTATCCATTTTCTCATAAACAAATTTATTTATCAGATAAAATAAAAATAAAACCGTTTTCCAATAAAACACCAACTCTTTATGGCTTTCCTCCATTATAAGAACAGAGTATCTTTTTAAAATACAAATGGGAAACCGCAAAAAACATAAACAAGGAGTCAGGGGGTTTGCACAGTTGAGTCCTTGGATTTGTTCTCTTCTGAAGATGGCTGATTCTCCGAGTCAGATTGCCGGACCTCTTCAATCATCCTAACTACTTCATCCATGTTTGGTCGCATGTCTGGCACCTTGGCAACACATGTCATGGCTATTTGCAGCATCTGCACCATTTCTTCTTCAATATTTTAGAATCTCATCAACTCGACATCAAAAACTTCGGCTGTCCATTCCTCCCTGACAACTGATTGGACCCACCTTGGGAGATCAACCATGTCATTCCGTCTTGGGTGGAATTTTCTTCAATTTTTCTTAGAGATATTTCTCGTGGAGATTTTGCTGAACAATTTGCCCATTGAAGATATTTGTCTACTATTAATCCATTTAGATCTACTTTAGTTTTTTTTTCAAGAGATTTTGGATGACAGATGAAGGCTATATGATAAGGAAGAAGAGATAGGAAAACTGATGAAGAAGAAGAGCAAAAGGTGCGGCGTGTGATGGAGAGAAAGAGAGGGTAGGTCCGTCATAAATGTTGTCCGAGAGAATAAGTTGAGGGTTTTGTCCAAAACCTCCCAAGCAACAAATAAGGGTTTTATTTCATTCTGTGATTCCCAAACCCTTTAATCAAACAGCCCTTTAGTTTTATCAAGTTTGAACTCGACGAACTGCTAATAACTCGAATTCGAGTTGAGCTCAAGTTCGAAAAAATAAAAAATAATTATTTTATTTTCTTAAAAAAATAATATTTTTTAAAAAATAATTATTTTATTTTTAAAAATAAATAAAATAATATTTATTAGGAATATATATAAGTTTACTATATATATATTTATATATATATAACTCGCGAGCCAACTCGTAAATTAACGAGTTTAATATTTTTGAACTAGAATTAGAGCTCGAATTCAATTTCACCAACTCGAGCTGAACTCGAGTTCGATAACTTTGACTCGAACGGCTCGCAAGCGGTTCAATTTGTTTGTAACCCTAGTTACTATACTTGTAATGATTAATCCATTTTATGCTTCCAATTTTGACCTAATATCAATTATCCATGAATTTGTAAATTTAAATGGGCATGTCTGTATTTATTGATCCGTACTTCCAATTTGGTCTGAATTTAGTAGGGTACTATGTTTTAGATTGTTTGAGTCATTATTATTTGGTGTAATTTTCTTGTTCCGAAGCATATTAAAAAGAAATGAAAAGGAATTGAACACCATCCATTTGTACACTTGTTAAATGGGGGAAAAGTTGATTACCATTTATTCTATAGTAGTTATTGATCCAGGCACAGAACAAATAACTATTAAAAACATTAAGTATATAACAATTTAATGACAAATAAGTCACAAGTATGAAAGATAAGTGACACAAAAGATTTAACGCGATTCGCTTCCATCATTGAGTCTATGTTCACGAAAAAAAAAACCAATTCTTTATTATAAAAAAAATTCTATAAAAAAATACAACTTGAACTTAAATCTAAACCCTTGAATACTATCTCTCAACTTTCTTGAACTTCTTTCACTTTATGTATAAGGTTACATGTTGCTTCTTGTGTATCACTTTGTAATATGTTAATTTTCACCTATTTATAAATTACTTTACTTGGTTAATACCCAAATAATAATAGAAAATAAATACAAGTAGGAAATAATTTCAAATTTCTAAACTCATACAAATAGGAAATTTCTTGACTACTACTTTAAGTAGTTAAAACTAATTAAGAAACTAGTTACTTCCTATTAAACAAGAAATTTGCTTAAAAGAAATTAAATCAATTTCTTAATTAATCTCTATTTTGACAAAAAAAAAATTTTAAAAATCATTGGTGTTTAACTATCAAATAATATAATACTGAACTATACATTCGAATCAAATACAGTTCTAACACCTAGTTGATTCAATCGATAAATAAACATGTGTAGTTAGCTCAAGTCTAACCACTAGTTGACTCTTGAAAAGATGTCTCAATTTATTGTCTTTTTTTTATAAGATTTCTTCTCACAACCACTTGCAATTCGAAATCCCTTTTTGGGAGCTCTATTTCGAATCATTGAGGTAATCAAATGGTAAAATCAACAATTTTTTTCATTCTCAGAATTGTTTTATCATGTGTGATTTTCAAAACTTTACCTGCAATATAAAACTCGCAGCTATCAGTCTTCTAACACTTGAAAATTAGATTTCTTTATTTTTGAGGGTATAAGTTGTACCACCTAAAGCACATAATTAGAATCTAAAAACTATTGGAATAAAATATCAACCGTTGAAGTTGTGAGAGCATTTTCACCGATTCACGTCTAAAATTGACATTAGACTCCACTTTTTTTAACCCTTGAATCACCTACCTGGATTCACCGTCAAGTATTTTTATACTTTTCGACTTCCCATTCTTCACTTTCAATGTTTCTTGTTAAGCCCTTGAAACAAGAATGTCTTTACCGATTAAATTGTTGAGTTGGTAATACTCGCCAACTTATTACTTAATTTCAATAGTCAATCAGGATCCAACTACAAACCCTGCTCTGATACCAGTTTATTGGGATTTCGACGCCGAATAAATAATTATTAAAATATTAAGTATATAACAATTTAATGACAAATAAGTTACAAGTAAAAATAAATGATATATAAAATTTAATGTGGTTTGACTCCGTTATTGAACTTACGTCCACAAAGAGAAAATTTATTTTTTATTATGAGAAGAAAATCTTGTACATGAATTCAATTTGAATCCAAATTCAAATTCTTATACCATCTCTCATCTTTCAAGAATTCTCTCTCACCCAATGTATAAAGTTACATGTTGTCCCTTGTATGTCACTTTATAGTATATCAATTTTCATCTATTTATAAATTACATTACTTGACCAACACCCAAAAAATAACAGGAAATAACTGCCAATGCCCAATCTTGTACAGAATTAGAAATAACTCCAATTCCTAAAATCATACAAATAGAAATTCTTTAACTACTATTTCAAGTAATTAAAATCAATTAAGAAATTATTTACTTTCACACAAAATAAGAAACCTGTTTAAAAGAAATTAAAATAATTTCCTAATAGTTATTTAATGCTTGAAGGGTCTAAATAGCTTGTGGAGTTCTCTATTGTGATTTTCTATTTGCTCACTTTGGTTTTGATGTTTGATGATAGATGGCAATAACATGATTCAAAAACATAAATTGAGCCTGTGAACTGCTTATACATGGTATCTTGGTTCATTGTCCATTATCGAAATAATTAAATAGCCCATAAAATATTAAAGAAAGGATTTAATGTCGGAAATAACTTGACTAAATGTTTTGTGGATGCTAGACTTGCAAAAACCATTGTAGTTTACATAGTGTATCATCTGCCATTTATGACTTGTTTTATCTACTTGTGGACCTGTGATTGATGGGCTATGGGTGCTTTTGTTTTTTTGTTGTAAGCCACAAAGTGGTCGAAGATACATGCAGTTGGACCACTCTGGGTTTTGTAGTCAAAATACTAGACTACTTGCGGCCGATCTAGTGGTTACTTAATACTTACTTTTAATAGTTTGATTAATTTTATCGATTTTTAGCCATTTTAATATAAGGTTTATCAATACTTTAGATAATCTCTTTGTCTGGTCTGTCTCTAATGTCGAGTCATGGAAATTTGTCAATTAAAAGTTCGAAAAGCTTGAGCAACTATTAAGAGCTCAAGTTTAATCAAATTCAAGTCAAATTTTTGACCAAGTTACTTGCTCGGTCCATCGGCCACCGTAGCCTTATTCTTCAAACTATTTTTTTGAACAATCATTGTAGTCTAATGAGGTACTATGTTGTATGCAGAGAAGAATCTTATTTACCTACTCCAAATTAGTGGACAATGAAAAGACACTGGATGAGTTCTAACAAAAGCTTGCGTTATTAGTTGACCACTTTTCCATTTTGAGAAATGCTGAGCTTTTCCTCCCAGGTTTTCCTGTTTGAATATGTTGAGTTGGGGGATTCGTGAAGGGCGTAGACTAAAGATGTATCATTGTATTTTATCACTTGTAGTTGCCAACATAAGTTAATTTAATTGTTAAGGATAAGTTATTTTCTTATAAAAGGTCATGTGTTTGAATTTCGCTCTCAATACGAAAGCCGTGTTAATGGCTATCTATGAAAATCTTTGTAAGTAACCTATGAATGCTTATGAGCATGCCCTTCCATGTGCGAAAAGAAATAAAAAAAAAATACTTGTAGCTGTTCAAATGTAGAAGAACAGTCCTAATTAATTTGGTAAGCAAACACTTTTAATTTAAAAGATTTCATGGATATGGATTTTTTTTTTTAAACATGGATGAGAAGAGAACAACCACAGCGACTATCATGAAATTGATGTCGTCAAGGTGGTCATCTTTTTTCTTTTTTTTTGAAACGATAAAACTAATCTATCCTACACTAAGGGGAAAGGAACGGACCTAAAGAGTTCCGGAAGTAACTTGAAGGGGACTGAATTACTAACAGATCAAACGGGTACACAACACACTTGCCTGAATTTTTTGTGAACAAATCACTTAAATGTGACATTTTTTATGGGAGGCGAGGTTTGATGCAGTCAAGGTCGTAATCTCTTGTGCAACTTTTTCCAGCTATGACATCTAACACAAATCATCTCACCACGTCCCATCAAACCATCTGCTAATACAGACAGACACAGAGAACAGTCTCTCAATAATTTTTCATCAAAATAGCCCTTTGATACTTACTTGTCCCAGAAAATCCACCTAATATATATAGCCGTGTCCAAGAACTTGATCATTAGTCATATATATAGCAAACTGCAAGATTAAAAATGTAATATGGATACTATTATTATCGTATTATTAAACTATTATATTTGAAATTTCAACCTGATGACCTTGGGTTAGCTGTTGTTAATTTGCCATACAATGCTCAATGTTAAAAAAAAAACAGCTAAATGATGTAACTAAAAAAAAATGTTAAAACATGATAAGGCAAAAAGGAATGAAGCATGAATGTTTAATTTCAATTCATTAAAGAATTAGGTCAGCAGCAAAAGACCTTTTCTTCCCTTGATTTTAGAAATCTAGAAGAGTTCCCAACTAGCTATTTGACGTGCAACTCGTGGGTTATGCATTTTCAGTCAATGTCAACAATTATGAAAATTTTTTGAACTTTACTAATTAGAATGCTAATTACGTATATATGAAGCATCATGCCAGTTCATCACCTATTAGACACAAATTTATTATTGACATTGAAATACCAACTTCTTTGTTAGTATGACACAATAAATTCCTCTAAAATCTTGATCACTATTGATAGGGTGTTAATTGTTGATTATTTTATTATTAATTTTCCCTTTGTTCTTGCCAAATATTATTTTAATTATTAATATTTACTTATATTTAGTATTTGAACTTAATTTCAGGGAATGGAGTAAAAAATTATAAAAAAGTAGATACTTTCTGGAGCAAAGTACTTCACACGTGGGAGACTGCTAAAAGGCTCCATCAATGTGGCCCACAAGAAGAGAATAAAACTAATTTCATACCTTTTTGCTATGAAGAGAAGACTCGTACTTGAGTCCTACTATCAATAGGAAGCAATGAGCAATTCGGCTGGCCCCACCTTTTTGTATTCTCTTCTCTTAATTCGGCAGGGCATTCTTTTAGTAGTTTTTGGACTCTAAATTTTGGCGGGGACCATGGAGAGAGAGCATTAGGGATTAGTCATTTTGGCTTTAAAAAGAAAGAAACGTACAGGCGGCTCTTATCATAGCTTTTAGGATAGTTTAGTTTTTTTCTTTCTTGGTTCCTTGTGACCTGGATCTCAGTAAAATTATGTGGAGATTTTCTCATGAAGCGTGGCTAAGTTTTTATCTAGTCGAAGGTCAACTTGAAGATTCGATTCCAAATACCTATGAGATCGAATTATTTTACTTATTTCTTTTATTCATTGGTATTCGTACGTTTTTTAGTTTAATTACTTATGATTATTTTGTTATTTGAATGTCAAGGGCCTGATATTCGAATTAACCTAATAATCTACTGTCATATTAATTGATTGAATCTGTAATTGTTCTGTTGATTAATACCAGTGGCGACTAGCGTGATTGATTTCATGTTAGGGAAACGTATGATCTAATTTAAACAAACACTCGTAGCGTGTTTGTTGGTTAGGGTTGGGTTTTTCTAATTATTAATGCAATCGAGTAATCAAATCCTACGGCCGTACCTAGGGTTATTTTTTTATTAGAGAAATAGTTAACGGTCGTACCTTAACTATTGAGAAATTAAGGAAAGGCTGGTTGTTCATCGCGTGTATGACAACTATAACCAATCTATTAATGAGTAATTGAATTATCTTTGCATCGATGATCAGTTGCATGGACCGTGTCTGAAAAGTTGTACCTTTGGCTAGAGTCGTATTGGTTATTGATTAATTTCTATTTATTTCTAGTAGTTGTTTTATTGGTTAGTTAATTAGTTATTTTATATTCTCCAAAAATCACCATACTTCGGACTCTGAAAGAAATAAGTTATCCCCAGTCCCTGTGGATTCGACCCTGCTCATCGCTATATACAAAATTTGTATTTTTCTCGAGTAGGTAATTATTATTGTACAGGCTCGACACCCTGTCAACTATTGCTTCTCCTATTAAACCATCATAGATAGCACGAGGTTAGCTTCAAATAACTGTCTTTAAAAACAAACCTTCTAGATCGAGAGTGTAATGAAAATAAAAATAACACGTCAAATTTAGAAGTATAAGAGTAGAGATATTGTATAGAAAAAAGCATATTAAACTCTTAGGACACTACATGATGAAAGAGAGGATTTTTCTAAAATGTGAAACATAATTGCACACATATATATGACAATAAAACACAATTTTTTTGGGCAATTTCATAGAGTTCTAAGTTGATGAACGTGGCCACTACTGCCTACCTTTCACGATTGGGGATTTTTTTTTTCCTTTCGATTTATTTGAAATGACAAGTTTTGATTGAAATTGGTACTAAAATTGAGATCATTTTAAACTTTTAGCTTTTTTTAAAAAAATATTTTTTTTTTTTACAAAATAAACTGACAACTTTGATTTAAATGCACAAGTCAAAAAGCAAATATACCAAATATTTATAAATATAAGCACATTGTTATCCAGTGCACCTAATTGCTTCATCACTATAAGTTCTAAAAATTTACCGGTCAAAATGCTAGCATACCATATATTTGTAGATACAGATACATTTTGTTAACCAATGCAGTTAATCAAATCATCTCTATGAATTCAAAAAAATAATAAAAGATAGAGATGAGTTCTCTCCATTTTGAGTCATGTCAAAGTGGTGGGTAGGATCGAAGTTAAAAGAAGAGTCTTTCAAATCCCTACCTTATAACAGCATGTTAATTAGAGCATGTTACCAAAAATAGTATACTGAGGATGTATGGTACTGAAATTGATAGTTTGGGGATACTTTACAACTTGAAGAAAGTTCAGAAGTGTATTTTGCAACTAACCCTTTTACTTTTCTTCTGCAATTAACACTTTCATAAATCACCTTTGCTTTTATCAAATACAAGCAGTAGGCCTCCACCTTTTTTTTTTTTTTTTTTTAAACCTTACAAGGTGGGAAGGCGAGAAAAGGCAAGGTATGAGAATTGAACTTAAGTAATGTTGCTATCAAGTAAACTGAGTTTTGGAGACCTAGGAATCCATATTTTTTGTTTATTTTTTTTCTAACTAGAGAGGAGAGAGATTTAAGAAACAGGGATTGGACAAGGGGGACTAAATTCTTGAACCCTTAATTCCTGGAGCCTCAACACCCAGGAATCCACTTGACCTTGTTATACAATTAATCATAAATTGCTGATGTTGGTAACCAATAGGCTCCACATGGCCTTGTTAAACAAACTAGTTTTAGTCTTCAATTAGTGATGTTGGTAGCCGATCCCCATCTTCAACGAGCACCAAATCTCACTGTATCCATGTTAAATACATTAATTCTTGTTTTGAGCTAAAGTGACAAAGCAACCGAATGAATTTTGCATTCCATTTTTAATCATCTTATCCATCTTATATGCTTCGTTTATTTATTTATTTTTGTTGATTGTTTGCATTTAATCAATATGTACGTCTTAAAAGAAAAGGCTGGTACTCATGTGTGAACAAAATTTGGAAAAAACCGGCTAATGCTAAACAGTGCAATTAAAAATTCGTGGAGGTTGTTAAGCGTTGGCTGCAGGCTCCAATAATTTTAATACGATATTTGGCATCGGAGAAAAATAATTGGTTTGGTATAAAAAAATAATGGATGGGGTTATAATTCTACAATATTTGGCATCGGATTAAAAATAATTGGTTTAGTATCAAAAACTAATGCCATAGTTAGGGAGGCAATCAAGTCATCTGATACGGTAGGTGGAAATTGGAATTCCTTCTCCAGCTGTTTATTTTAAGGGGCTTGCAAGGTTAGGCTTGTGAAGGCAAAAATTTTGATTCTCCAGGTAGAGATTTTGTTCAAGGGACGACTTGATCATCCTAGCATTATCTTCAAGCACTTCAGCAAGGATCAAATCCATTCCCTCAAGGAGAGGAGACAAGAAACTTGGACAGAATACGGGACCATATCACTTGTGGCAAAAAAGTAGCTAGGGGACTAGTATCTCTTGCTCCATCCATTCCTGTCTACAAAATCACTAGTCACGGGTAAGAGAATCTCTCTTAGTGCTGCTTTTTAATGCCCTCAACATAATGGAGAAGTACAAGTAACTAAAGCTCGACCAAAGATATTGGTTCAGTTCTTTCTCTTAGGGAGCTAGTATCTCTTGCTTCATCCTTCTTCTCTTTTTTTTTTTTTTTTTTTTTTTTCAACTAGGAGTATCCCAGTTTTTTGTTGGACTAATTTTCCTACGCTTGTGCAGCCAACTCCCTAAGGATACACAAGCGATAGTAAGGTGACTTGAACACGCGATCTCGAGACCTAACTAGGCTACCCCGAAACTATCCGAGTCAACCCAAGGGACTCTTGCTTCATCCTTTCGTGTCAACAAAATCACTAGTCACGGGTAAGAGAATCTCTCTTAGTGCTGCCTTTTAATGCCCTCAACTAAAGCACACTCCATATGTTATGTATATATTATATGATTATATTCTTGTTCTCATAAAGAGGAGCAGCTGATCAAGAGTACAAGATAAATTTATTTGGTCATATTATTACACACACATGGCTGCAGCTTGTAGTGGCGGAGACGAGATCCAAACAGCTAGCGTGACAACTTATTTGGTAAGTGCACGTCTATGACGAATGAAACGATACAACATTTAATTGTCAGTCAAATATATATGTACGAATGAAACGAAGCAATGTTTCATTTCATAAAAAGTATATTGAGCAATTATAGGAGAGCAATCTAGAAAGGAAAGGGAGTTTCATAAAGCTCAGCGGGTGCAAATGTTGAAAAATTATTGTTGTTAAAGACTTTTACAAGCCAACTTTGTGCCTTTTTTAGAAGATTGGGGGTGGAGGACCTAGGAGGTTCTGCAATTGCCCACCCTCCCTATGGCCTGGCTCCGTTCCAAGCTGCTCAAACCTGTTATTAACCTTGGTTTAGTAATTTATATTACTATTAATCCAACAGGATGAGCTACAGGATTGTACCATACATATGGCATCCCAGCTTCATAAGGTGGCAGTGATCGGAGCTGGTGTTTCGGGCCTCGTAACTGCCCGGGAGCTTCAAAGAGAAGGCCAGCAGATTGTGGTGTATGAGAAATCAAACCAGATTGGTGGAGTGTGGGTGTACGATCCTGAAGTCGAGACTGATCGGCTTGGCCTCGACGCTAACAGGAGAATCATTCATAGCAGCATGTACGATTCACTTCGGACAAATCTTACTAAGCAACTTATGGAATTTACAGATTATTCCTTCACAATCGAGAAAAATGGTAAATATTTGTATTTTCCTGATCGCAAGGAGGTGCTCAAATTCTTGAATGATTTTGGTAGAGATTTTGGACTGGATCACTTGATTCGGTTTAATACTGAAGTAGTTTCTGTTGAGCAAAAGAATGGTAAGTGGGTTCTTGAGTCTAAAACAAGTGATGTTGATCAAATCAATCAAAAAGAGCTTTTCGATGCGGTCGTGATTTGTAATGGTCATCATACTCAACCAAAATTGGCAGACACTCCAGGTATTCATCCTCCACACCCAAGCTAAAACGAGGGGAAGAAAAAAAAAAAAAATACAAAGACACATACATATCAAGACAATTTTATTTGATGCCTATAATTGTACAAACTTTCAACCTCATTATCTGTAGCATGTAGCGTAGCATATTTCTATATGATTCTTAGAGTAATTTCTCTGCCTTGCCTTGCCTTGCTTGTGGGTGATATTAATGCCACACTCCATTTTTTAGTTCCAAAGTCATTTTTGCAAAAAATGCCAAAATTATCCTTTTCAAGTCTAAAATGTTTGGACTTAGGTGGGATAGTTTTTCATTTCAACATAAATTTGCTGTCAAAATAAAATATGGACTGTAGCATTATGATTTGCTCTGAAATGTTTATAAAGATTGACTGGACTAGTTTAGATGGAAACATTAATTCATGCACTTTTGGAAAAGAAAAAAAAAATGAAAATAAAACCGCACATAACTTGTGGAAGAAGAACTACATCCTTAAGCACAAGTGCCCTAGAGTTGACTTTGATGCTTTTATTCGTATTCTTTTTTGGTGACATTTTCACTTTTTTTAAATCCTTGCTAGGAATTAAAAAGTGGCCCGGAAAACAAATTCACAGCCATAATTATCGCGTTTCTGATCCTTACAAGGACCAGGTATTAATGAAAAAAAATTGGTTAGTCATTATATTTCAATTTTTGGTAATCTTACAACTGTTTCCCAATAGAGAAATTATTTTGCCTTCGAAAATATTACAGGTTGTGGTTGTGATTGGTAACGGGCCAAGTGGCTACGGCATAGCCTTTGACATTGCCAAGGTAGCCAAAGAAGTTCATGTTTCATCAAGATTCCCACAAGTTGAAGTCAGAAAACTCGAGACCTACGATAATGTATGGCAGCATTCAAAGGTGTTGTACTCGTGCCATTAAAAAGAGATTTAGTCTCTTTTTTAGTTGTAGGTTGGGAGATCAAATCCCACCTATAGTAAAAAGAAATTTTTAAAAAAGTGTCAAATTATCTCTTTAATCTAGTCAGATCCGTAAATCTGATGATCCCTTATATAATCTCTATAGACAGCCCCTCTTTATAAAATAGTATAGATTAGGTTATATAAATATTATCGTTACAGTAAAAAAAAAGAATTCAAAGGTATAATTCCCATAATTTGATTTAGAAACTAATTGTGTATATGCTCAAAAGATGTTTGATTAACGTGCTACCTGACTAAGATGGTTGCTTAGTCGGTTGCTTTGATTTATTTGGTTCCAAAATACGCACACCTTTCTTAGTACGCAAACTCTAATTTTGCAAGTATCCACTAGATCGAATATTGTCATGAAAATGGTGCGGTAGCTTTCGAGGATGGAGCTTTGGTTGCTGCAGATATCATAATTCACTGTACCGGGTAGAAATCAACCAGTGGTTTTAGATTTTCCTCTTAATTTGATAAGAAAATGCATTAGTTATATACATCTGGGATGGATTTCCATTAAATCTTTCTGAATTTGTTGACAGGTATAAATACGATTTTCCATTCTTGAAAACAAATGGGATAGTTACTGTGGATGATAATCGCGTTGGACCATTGTACAAGCACGTTTTCCCTCCACGACTTGCTCCTGCACTTTCTTTCGTTGGCATCCCAAAACAGGTATGCTATTGGCATTATTTCTTCGGGAAATGAGGCCTCTCCAGTTTCTTTTCCGTGAAGTTGTGTAAATTGATAGAATTTTGGTGTGAACTAGTGCAATTTTTGTATAAATGTGAATTATAATTGAGTTAGTGTAAACTTCACGATTATACTTACAATGTATTAATTTACACCGAAATTATACTAGTTTACACAACTGAACGGAAATGAACAGAACCTCAAATGGAGATGTCCGGATCTGTTTTTCGAAGCCTAGTACCTCTAATTTGTTAATTATGCCTCACGAGCCAAAGACTTTCAAAATGTAAAATATTACTGTGGATTGTTTACCAAATATTTTGTCATTAAAAAGAAAATAACATTTGTAATGTAGGCTATGCACAATTTCTCTAGATATTCTTTGATGTAATAATATGTATGTAACTGTTCTATTCACATGATGAAATTTCCATCTGTCTTGTCCTCTTAGACATGCAGTCTCAATAGAATTAAGGAATTAATTTTAAAGGTTTAGGATTAAAAGCATAGTTAATTTTGGCTCCTTCTTTTTCCACAAATAGACTCTCAATTTTCGTGTGGCGGAATTACAAGCCAAGTGGGTGGCGCAAGTGTTGTCGGGAAAGGTCACTTTGCCGTCCAGACAAAAGATGGTGGCGGATGTGGAAGAACACTACCGACTTATGGAGGAAACCGGCGTTCCTAAGCACCATACTCACACGTTTCTCAGCTGCAATGATACGGTAATATTTAGTAGTCATCCAACTTTTGAGTAAATTTTAGATGGTTTCATTCTATTGGATTTCGACACCGTTCATAAAACCAAAAATGTGGGTAAATATTTTTTGCAACATTTAAACCAGCGATAGAAAATGCAAATATTTAGGTAGACACATTTTCTAAACTAGGGTTCTAAGTACTTCTTTAATTTTAGATTATGATTTGTCTATTTGAAGATGTGTTTTTAAACTCGGGCCGAACTGGCCGGTCGGACCGATCGAACCGAGAATCGGCCAGGCATCCGATCCTAGTTATTTTAAAAAATCGGACAGTTAAAAATTCGGTCAAACCTAATCAAAAATCGGATTTGACCGGAAAAAAACGAAAAAATCGGTTCAGTCAAAGCAGTAACTAATTCCAAGCACTGACTAATTCCTCCATATGGAAAAGCATTAAAGCACCGTATACTTTTTGAATTACCATAGTCCGCGAAGCGTCGTATCACGTCCTAACCCTGTTCTTCCGTCTCTATATATAATCCCCACTGTCAAAGCTTTTTTTAAAAAAAAGGTCAAACATTTTCAATATTATCATTTGGCTCTTAAGTTGTTAAAAATTATTAATATATCTCAAATATTTCATACTTTATAATTATTGTCCTAAAATTTGATATTATTTTTCAATTAAGTCCATAATTGTAATTTTAAACTTGTTAATGTTCATTAAATAATATAAATTGCTACTTGATTGTTCTAATTTCTTTGTATTTTCTTGTTAAATATAATTAAAACATCAAATATATATGAATATACCTTTATTAATATTAGCATGCTCTTAGGTATTTTACCTATAATATTTTAATTTTAAAATAATTTTTATTTATGACATCATCCGATTCAACCCCGATCGAATCCGGTCGAACTCTGACCCCTGAGCTCGACCGAATCAATGCCTGGTCCGAGTTTGTAAACATAGATTTGAAGAAGGTACGTATAAGCATTTAAAGCATGTGGGTATACAAGTCTTCCTGAGTATTAGCAAATGGGACAACCCTTTGCCACCAGCCTTCAAATGTTTTACTGTATAAACTTTTAGAACTGCATTTTAGATCACTTTTTCCATTAAATGAAAAGGATACGATGCATTTGATACTTATGATTTGTTAGCTCTCCATTTAATACAATAATTTGCATATAATTATATAGAACAACCATCAAGAAACAAATTACCCATCTATTTTGAATTATTAAGAAAACTTTTGAAGACATGCTTTACCTGAAGTTATGATGCTATTCCCATTAACAACTCAACAATAAGATATATATATATTAGGTAAATGTGTAAACATATAAAATCCCAGACTATGCACAGGTTTGCAACTAGAGTAGAACCTATAAATTAATAACCTTGGGGCCATACAAATTCTATTAATTTAAAAAGGTATTAATTAATCGATTAATTAGTAATTTGTTAATTTATCAGGTGTACTTATAATTAAAAGAAACACTCATTTAGCTAATTTTTTATTTTATTCTATTAATAAAATGAGGCTAAAAGTCTAACAAATATAAACTAATTCATATCAACCAATGCACCCTTGATATAGTTTTTCTATTATGAAGAGGTCAAACAAGCAATTACAATAGACCCATATTTTAAAAACGTCCCCTACATTTTGTTAAATGAATTTTTTTTTATCATTCACCCTTGAAATGTAGTTTATATTTCTTAAAAATACAAGTCAGTAAAATTTGGTCCCAATGCAAGTTTTCGACTACTTTTTAGTTTAGATATCACCATGTGACTCATATGTGATCACTCATTAGATATAAAAAAGTCAGATCCCACTTGTTTAGGGACAAAAATGAATATAGATCGAGTCATATCTTACTTTTTTAAGAAAAATATATATAGTTTGAATCAGATTTCACTTTTTTAGAGTAAAAAATGAATATGGATTAGATCATTTGTTTAATTACAAATGGTATTTAAACGTTTTGCTCCAAAAAAATAAACACGTGTGAGTCACATGATGGATTCTGGGTAAAAAGTGGTCAAAAATCTAGATTGAGACCAAATTTTACTAACTTAAATTTTTAAGGGATGTAAATTTAATATTTTAAAAATAAAGGACTAAAAATTTATTTGACGAAATGTGAAGGATATTTTGAACAATGTTTTCTTTAGGAAAGTATGATGTGTAATTTTAGTGAATATTAATTCATGATATGAGTAGGACCAAAGGGTTATGTAAGGTTTCAAAAAATTTTATTGTATTATTATTTTATCAAAATTATTAATTTAACTCATTAGCCTAAATTGGGATTGGGAAAATTATTATTTAATAGAGGTTTTACTATAAATGTAGTTATAATTTGTATAAGCTGTGTCAAGTTAATACTAAAGCAAATATAACCCATTCATATAACTAAATATGTACATGTTTGTATTTGCATATTTTTTCTTAATAAACAAAAGAATTTCAATCATTTAGATAAAATTGCTCTAATGGCAATAAATACATTAAAAAAATGCAACATACAGAAGGGACAAAAAATCAATGAAAAGATAATATTGGTAATTATGAAATTTCTTTAAAATACAGATAAATCTCTACATCTCCATTAGATAATGTGTGCATGTTCGCTACAAACAGATCTAATAGGTACCACTTTCAAGCTCCCCGAGCAAGTTTAAATTTAATCAAATTGATTTGAGACTGAAGCTGGATCTAACAAGAGCAAAGCAAAAAATAAAAATAAAAATAAAAACTCTCACAAAAAAAAGTTAAATATGAGAACTCTCACTAGGAAAATTCTAATAGAGGATAAACTCTCGCAAGAAACATTGTTATGAATAAAAAGATAAAACGGAAAACAAAAGGGTGAGACACCATTTGGCCTCTCCCATGAGAGAAGCTAAAGAATGACCGGGGAAGGAGTTTGCTGACTAAAGACATTTTTTTGAGAGGTGGAGGAAAGAATACGTGCATATGCAAAAAGTAATGTTAACTTTGCGGATGTTGTTGCAGTTTATATACTTGGACTGGCTAGCTGCTCAAGTAGGGTTACCACCGACTGACGAGCAACTGAAAAGGATATTTGATAAACTTGTGGAACTCGCTACGATTTCACGGGTTGGATTTAGAGAGCGGCTGGTAGAGAGTTGGCCTTTTTAAAGACAAAGATTGCGGCAAGGTTATCTCAGTCTATGTTTCTTGGCTTCCAAATTTGCAATAATTTTCCGGACCACACGAATAGTGTTCTTGTGAAGTCTTTAGCACTCTTTCCTTCAGTACCTTTTTACTGCTCTTCCATCGTTTTCTGAGGTGCCCTTATTCACAACTCAACGAAGAGTACGAATTTTACTGTGCAAGTGAAGAGGGTGATGATGTGATTGCATTGGCATGAATGGAGCTGCTTGCTCCAGCAGTCCAACCTAGACTTTCTATCCTCCTGTTCATTCCTTGTGAGTTTTCAGGATAAGTGATATTCGGATTTTCAAAAGAACTCTTTCTTTACTTCTCTTTTTTTTTTTTTTTCTTTTTTAAATACTAGGGGATTGAATTTGCCCTAATTTTCTTCATTACATTTTTGGGAAAATTAATTGGAAAATATTCCCAAAACTCAAGGAATTACGTGTACAATGTTTAACTAAAAGTAGTATGAGATTCCCAACTAATTACTGGGATCGGCTCCAATGGTTAGAGGAGACCTCTTAGAGTCTTCTTGGCTGCTGAATTCAGGATGCAAATTCTTTACTTGACAATTGGATGTGGGGAGGGTTAGAAGGATAAAAAATAAAATAAAAAAAAGTAAATAATATTCCCAATCACCTAATTCCTTAAGAGTTGATAAAACAGTGGATGATGATATTCGATAATTAAGAAACTACCAACCTAAATTAAGATTTTTTTTTTGTTGTATTTTTGACTAGTTCTAAGCAATTCATATTTAAAATATTGAGCAGCTACAGAAAATAGAAATACCTAATCTTATATGTGCTTGGATTGAAAATTGAAACAAGTAAAGGATAAATTATGGTAGGTGAGATCAAATTGTAGGGCATAATTTTCAACTGACGTTAAAATGTAACTACTTTTATAAGTTGTTGTTTTACTTTCTATATCTGTTGTTCTATATACCATGAAATTGTGACAAGTTTTACTGTCTATATCTGTTGTTCTAATTCACATTATACGGTGAAATTGTGACAATTACAAAATCCCTGATGCAGTTCAAAGGCCCTCCTTCCATTGAAGCTCTGTGTCTGAAAAAGTAAATAGCATGAAAGGTTAAAAGAGAAATATGTTAAAAGCAAACAAAAGGTCAGAAATTTTAGGAGAAAAATATATATGTCAGACGAGATTACTAGAAACTAAAAGCAAAACTGGAAGAAGGCAATAGGTTAGAAAATTAAGGGCAAATTCCACTTTACCCCCCCGTAGTTTAGCATTTTTTCACATAACCCCCCTATGGTTTTAAAAGCTATACATAACCCCCTTATGGTTTGGATTAAAGTGTCAAAGTAACGGAAATAGTCACTCGTAACGGCGTCACATAAAATGTCAAAAATACCCTTATGTAAAGTTAAAATTTATGTATTAACCAAGGGGGGTAATGTGTATATTTTGAAAATTATAAGGGGGTTATATGGTAAAGTATTAAACCATAGGGGGTTATATAGTAAAATATAAAAATCATAGGGGGTTGATGTGTTATGTATTTATAAGGGTAATTTTGACATTTTTAAAAGTTCCGTTACGAGTGACTATTTCCGTTACTTTGACACTTTAATCCAAACCATAAGGGGGTTATGTATAACTTTTGAAACCATAGGGGGGTTATGTAAAAAAAGGGTAAACCACAGGGGGGTAAAATATAATTTACCCGAAAATTAACAAGATTCAACCAAGCCACGACGAAGCCAGGCGTAGTTTAGCGGCTAATTGCCTCCAAGCCCCTTCAATTTTTAAAAAATTACTTTTAAACTCGGAAAGTGTAGAAATTTTTAATGTTGCTTTGTATTTGCACCCCTTATATTTTCTTAAATTCTCTTTCCTATAAATTTATTTATTTATGTCACTCGCTTATTGCTAAACCTCTCGTAAAATCCCTAGAATTTCAACAAATACATGGAAGCAAATGACCCATTTGGAAAAAGGCAAAAGCAACCTAAATTGCATTATTCGTATCAAATATTTGCAAAATTGGGCGCATTCTTCGTGAATATTTGTAAAATTGACTGCATTATACAAATCAAATAGTAGTTTGACTGTAACTATATCGGATCGATCCTATGAGGAGCAACTAACGTAAGCACTAGGTGCTTGCTTATTCTATTATTTAGATTAACTACTAAATAAAGCAATAGAAATCACAATACTTACTAATAACCTAACTTAACTCTATAACTTGCAAGATAACAATGGAGAAATGTCACGAAATACTTGAGTCTAGAGAAATAGAGTCCAATTATGACACAAAAGATGCAAGTGAATAGATTTATCTCTTACTACTATTGTTGTTTATCTAGGTATTCATTTTTATATTTACCAAAACTCACTCTCATGATATAATGGCCTAGAATGGTCTAGTTTTCCTTATTCTCATGGTAAATAACTAGATCCACTCTTCATGCAATGCAAAAACAATCCACTTAAGGGCATCTCTATTCTCATGAGTTTACTCCTTAAGTTCCATTCATATTGTTCCATCATTATTATCAGTTTTCATTGGATAATAACAACTAAAACTTGTTATTGATGATCAAGCAATAACAAATAATAAGTATGCATAAATGAACAAGTTAAAACAAGAGGTAGCAAGTATAAATCATATTCAACTCATATCAAGTAGCCATAAAGTTCATTTACTCTCTAGATCTAAAAATTTAGCTACTCATATGATATAAAACAAGAAAAAACATAACTTCATTGCATGCACACATGATAAATCACAAGAAAAGAGAAAGATAGAGAACGTTTAGTCAAGATGATGAACAAGCTACCAAATCTTCTATTTCTTCAACAAAAATGAGTGGTACAATAAATTCTCCAAATTTTTCTTACAAGTTCCTAATTAGAAAGAGTAATGAAAGACTAAAACTAAACTCTTCAACAAAAATCTAATAACAACTCTCTCCAAAATACTAACTCCCTCTTTCTTCAATGATTTTCACATATATCATGTTAGGGGAGTCAAAAAATGGTTCATGATATGACATAAAGCTCTTTTTCTCTTCCTTAAGGAATCTTGAGCATGTGCAGCCAAAATTCTGAGCTAGAATTGAGTTGGAAAGTAATGTAAAAATAGATCAAGTTGCAAAACTAGTTGCAGAGAAACAGAGCACAATATGTGACCTCAGAATACGCGACCCGAGCCCGCATATTCGAGGTCGTGTTTTGTCGTTTGGTTTATTTTCTTGCCTCTTTTCTACTTCAATTGATCACTAATATCATAGGCAAGATGTCCAAGTGTTTGCTCATTATTTCACCAATAATACTTGCATTTGATGCCCTTCTACTTTTCAAATTGCCGTTGAATTAAGCATTGATGAGTTCAAATTGAATCCATCTCGATCCACCGTTGATAACTTTCTTCAAAACCTGCAAATATGACCAAGTTTGCACATTAAATTGCTTAAACAAAACTTACAAAATTTAGAAACTTAGAAAGAAAGTTACATCTTAAAAACTCCTAACTTATACCAAAACTAAGTACAAAATATTGCTAATAACCATGTATAATAAACACTTATCAATATTGATTATAGTAAATTTGCCAAAATTACACCATCAAAATAGAAAACGTTGCCTCATTTTTTTTTTGGGAATGTCTAGAAATCTACCAAATATTTGTCAATGACAAGAAATGTAATTTTGGTCCTCAATGTTTGGTGCCTATATAATTTAAGTCCCTAAAGTTTTGGCAAAAATAAATTTGATCCCCAATATTTGATACCTGTTGTAATTTTAGTTTATTCCCTAAAATTTTGACAAAAGCAAATTTGATCCCCAATGTTACTATTTTGAAGCATATTTAGTACATTTCCAAATAATAATAGGTTCTGTCACGTGCATAATATGTTTGTTAAAACATTTTTAAAATGAAACAAAAAAGCAATATACCTTGAACAATAAGGATATTTCGCATGATGACATGCTAGTAATTAATTAATCAAGAAACAAAAAAAAAAGAAAGAAAGAAAATTTGTTAAACTATGTGCAAGAAATACTATTTTATATTTATAAATATTATTTTAATAATCCACCGATTCAACTTGTGAACCAGTAACCATTGATCCGGTTTCTTTACCGAGTGCCTGATTGGACCAGATTTAATAACTATATTGTAACATATTTTTAATCATCAATCACATTCACATGGTAACTCACTGAACGTAATTTGGTACCCCGCCTCTTCAGAGAGAATCAATCCCCTTTGCGTGCATTTTAAATACATTATCTTGTTTTTGGGTGAAGCCTGAAAGGACAAAGCTACCGGATGGCTTTTTCGTTCCCTTTTCAGTAATTATCTTCTCTAACTTCCATGATTCTTTTCTTTTTTGTTGTTTGCATATTGTTAATACGCAAGTCTTCAAGAACAGGCTGGTGCTCATGTGTGGACAAATATGACAAACTGGATAATAATAAAGAATGCAATTAAAAATTCATGAGGGTTTTACAAGATTATTGCTAGCAGCCATGGATTAGCTCATCAAGGCAAAGATTTGGCTTCTCGAGGTAGAGAGTTTGCTCAAGGGACTACTATATAATACTATCCCTGTCATCAAGGTCTCCAGCAAGGATCAGATCCATGCCCTCAACGAGGAGCTAAATAACTTCGAAAAAATTTTCAGAAGGTCTACCAAGTACTAGAAGCAAATCATACGAATTTGGCAAAGAAGTGGTCAGGGAGTTAGCATCGCTCGCATCATCCTTTGGTGTCAAAGAAATCACAAGTTAAGGGGTAAGAAAATTACTCTGTGTGTTGCTTTAGATGTCGTCCCTTCAAAGAAAACCACTACTTTCATGCATCACACGAACACCCATATCTTCAAGAGTTTATTACTTGAATACCAAGGATACACTTGTCATAAATGAAGAGAAAAAAAAATATCGTGCAGATTTGGCAATAGAAATGTCAATTTTCAAAGACAAAACTTGTATATAACTTTATCTACAACATAAAAATGATTTCCCTTTTCGTACTTATCTTTGTGACAATTTTAACTGCAAAGTCAATTGTAATTTGATGTGAATTTAGCATAAGAAACAAAAAGCAGTTTTGCTGTTAGTGTTTGAATTCCATCATAATATGCGCCAAGAAAACTAAACTGCTCTTCAGATGTTATAAATTGTATAATGGTAGTAAATAAATTTGCCTGAAAACTATGTCTGTTCTCTCATTTTCTTTCTTGTTCTTGTAACGATGGAGCAAATGGATACCACAATTTGGTCATACTTTTCCTACTTACATTTACCAAGCATGTTTGAAAAGTTGTAGTTTCAATTTTGAT